CAGTAACGGAAACGGCTTCAGTTTAACCAAGCCCCCTTCTTGTTCGGGGGGGCGGTTTTTTTTCCCGCCCCCGTGTTTTTTGGGTTCCACGGGGAACAGGGCCCTTCGGACCCCCCAAAGCCGAAACTTACTTTTACGGGGGCCCATCTTTCCTTTAAGCGTTCCCCCCCGGGGGAAAAGAACACTTTATTGGACCCTTGGGCGGGCCCCTTCTTGTTGGGTTCGGTGGGGGGAGGCCCAGGGTTCTTCTTCTTCCCCCCTTTTTAGGGGGGGGGCCACCCCCTTTCCCCCCCCAAAGGGGTTTTTTTGGCGGTGGTGGTTCCCTTCTTGGTCCCCTCCTTTGGAGGAGGCCCGGGGGCCCCACACCCGGGGGGGGGGGGGGGGGGGGGGGCTAGCCTGCGCCAGCCCGTCTCTATCGCCGCCCGGCGTCGGGGGGGCTTTTGATGGTTCCGTCGGTGGACAGTCCCGCGCCTCTGCTCCCGCTTTCTGGCCCAGAGTTTCGTGGAGGACGGCGCCGCCCGCCGCTACTGTTGCGTCAGCCGTTGCTGCCCCGCCGGGTGCCGCCGACTTGCTCGCTCGAGACACCCGCGGGCGGCTGAACAGCATCAGCACGATGTGCGCCAGGGTGTTGCCCGCAGTGTCCCGGAGGAGCCCGAACGACTTGTCGTCCGTGGTGATGTGGTAGAGGTTGTAGCAGGCCACGAAGATGTTCCAGCAGCTCTCGTCGGTAAGCAAGTCTCCCACTTCGCACCTCAGGCACAGCGCGGAGAGCTCCAAGAGCTGCCGAAAACGAAGCGCGTCCCAGAGAAAAAAACAAGAAGAAACGAGACCCGAGTTTTGTCCCGGAAACAAGGGCTCCGGCAGGTTAGTTTAATGATTGTGAGCATTCCTGTGTTTTACGTGTGTCAAGACGGTTCACATGGCGAGACTCCGAGAACCAACACAGAGGGCCACATATTGCACGTAGGTGGTAGTTCTACCCTTGCATGTCAGGTAAATATGAATCATAAACATACTACATGTGTGTGGAGGGTGCTCTCCATTGTGCAGAGCGAGACCTTTGTGGTTGTGGACCTACCTTCATCAGCACCAGCTCGTCGCTCTCTGGGTCGGTCTCCTCGAAGTGGCATCTGCTGATGGCCTGCACACGCCGCAAGGGCAGCACGAAAAGCAATAAGAGCGTCTCTTAAGCAAAGGGGGCGGTATGGACGAGAAAACATCGGTAAGAAAAGCGGGGACAAGCAAAAGGCATGGACGGATGATACCAGAGCTAACAGGTCCACTGCCATAGGATGTTCGTTCACACCGGTCACGCGCGAAGCGTGCGTTAACGAATCGAGGTCGAGGCGTGGGTGGGGTTCGTCGTCGTCGAGGTAAAAACGGATGGCGCATCATCACCTGTGCCACGAGGGTTATCCCTTCCTTCACGCGAGGGCAGTCCTTCCGGATGAAGCCGTACAGGAGGAACTTGTGCAGCGAGCTCAGCGCCACGCCTGTCATTGGCCCGGTCGTGGCCGGCGACTCCACCACCGCCAGGAACGGAAGGAGGTAACTGTAGGCAGACGGTGAGACAAGACACACAGAGCATGCATGGAACGTGACATTGAACCCTGAAGTGATGTTGCGTACTGCTGCATGGTTACAGGAGGTATATTGTAGGTACTTGCAGCACAGAATTTCTAAACTCCTCAGTTGATACTAGCATGAACAGAGAACGCAAGATGTGTCCGGGCGGGCGGAAAAGGGCCCAAAGCTTGATCACGCTTCAGTCGTGGGGCCAACGCCAGGGGGGCGGGAGATGTATGTGCTGCATTTCTGTTATTGCAGCTTTAGCAAAGTATGCTCAACTGCACCCATTGTCCAGCAGGTATCCCTCAACCCTGACTACCTACTGTGTTCCCAACGGACCCCTTCGAACGGGGTAGTTATCTAGATATCATCAACCAACACTTCGGTTGCCAAAAGATACCACACCCTTGGACCCATGTAAAAGGACCATTCATCGGCAGCAAAAAATGGTGACGGTGCCGAAAATGGCGGTGTTGGAAGCGTATTGTCGAGAGCTTTCCGAAAACTTTCGTTTGATTGTGGCATCCTCTTCGTCTTTATGGAATAATCAGAAGATCGATTCAGGGGAGGTGTTATCTTACATCATGCGGATTTCTTCACTTCCA